CTATTACAAAACTAATCCAAATATATATTCATAGTTTTTTTGTTTTGGAGTAGACTTTCTTCTTGTGATGTTTGTCATAATACCTGTCAGAGACCTTTCTACTAACTCTTGTTCCTTCTTTCCTCCTTTGCGTGCACTCTATTAAAGAAACAAAGATTTCAGACATAGGTAAGAGTGACTCATCCTTTTTTCACCCCTAACCATCTTTACATTGCACTGTCCAATTATGCTGATTATACACCAGACTCTAGTGCAAACTTCCTCCGTTTGTCTCTCCTCCTTTTAAACAAGAACAGCCATTGATGCTCATTCCTGTCAGCGACATGCTAACGTCCTTAGCCCAAGGAGCTGGATCAAGCAGTTAGCAAGCTCATTTTGCATTTGTATATTCTTCCTGAAGTTCAGTAATGCTTTCAGGATGCAGTGATATTGTGTAGGGGAAGAAGGGACTGTCAAACAGGTCAGATCTACTGACAGTGTGCTAAAAACAGTCTACTACCTCAGACTGCCTTCCCTCCGGTTGGTCCATTTCATTGAAAGGGTAATTCAGCTTTAACACAACTTTGGTCTTATTTTTCGTAGTTTTGGCTTTCGTTTCTATTTGCCATGATCACCTTTTACTCACCGATGTGATTGAAAGAAGTTGAAAATATATAATAACTGATCAGTAATGTTGCACTGTCACCTAACGTGGCAGAATGAGGCAAAGAGTAGCGAGGAATTACAAAAAACACAGCCCCGATGATGCTACCATCAGATAAGCACATTTCTTTTCCAGTCTAATTCTCTTTCCCTCTCTGATCTTCACAAGTGTTCACACAAAATCCAGCCTATTCTCCTGGTGTCAGCTCAGATGAAGTCATCTCTTGAGCAGGCGCCCCCAGCAAGGAGAGATGTGCTGGAGTTGAAATGTTGGCCGTGGTTGCTGGCCGTTATTCCTCTCTGTTTTTATATCTTCCTAGTCGAAGAAGAAAAAAATAATCAAATCAACACATTTGACAAGTGAGGCAGACAAAACACTCAGGACCTTTTGGGAAAGTTCCGGGTGTGAAATTACAACGTGCGAGAGGCCAAACAAAAGCATTTTGCTTTCGTCTCTCTCTCTTTCTCACATTCTAAATCATGTTGTGAAGTAGACTCTTGAAGTCAAATGTAACTGGGGCTGTGATTCCTGGCCCTTCCTCTTGCTGCTCAGTCTCATTATAAATGATTCAGCTGCACTGTCTGTTGACAGCTGACAGCACAAGGGATTCATTACAGTGTTCAAGTGTGAAAAGGTCTTTTCACACTTGTAGATATGTACATGGAAATGAATGCATGTTTTCCAACAAGTAAACTTGTGTGGGTTTTTGTTTTGTTTTTTGTTTTGTTGTTTTTGTTTGTTTTTGCCTGTCCTTGTTTGTCTACCCTCCCTCATAATGTAAAGCGTCTTTGGGTTTAAGAAAAGCGCTATAGAAATATAATGTATTATTATTATTATATGCTCTTTGGTCCCTGGCAGAAATGTTTTACAGTGCTCTGGGAATGATGGGGATAAGTGGCTATAGGGGGATTTTGGTTGACCCAAAAAATGAACAACATTGGCCCGTTCTGCTTAAAATCTTGTTGGAGAGTTCTCTCCCATTACATTAGGGTTTGCTGCTCTGTATCATCCCCTGCCAAGTAGGTTCCACATGAAGACATAAAAACATAAAACAAAGATATCAGATTAAAGCTGAGATTCCACAGATTCTAGAAATATAAGTATCATCACTGTGTCGCGGCAGGGGAAGCAAACCCAGACATCACACAACGTAGCTTTACAGAGCAAAATCGGGAAATATGTCTTACCTTTTGCTGTTTCTGATCAAAAGTTGTGTTCAATGGCATTAAAACGCATATAAACGCTGCTGAAGGTTAATCCAATGTGTCTGTGTCACTTTGAAATGATTACTGATAATCCATCATCATATTTATGTCAATAACGGAGATTTCATATTAGCTGCTGCCGGTTTTGGGCATTCTGGCTATGCATCACTCATTCACCAATGGGTAATGTTTAGATGGATTTTAGGAACTTCCCCTCGATTCTATTGGCTCTAACGGTTAAAAAGAGATGTCAATCACCAAAATTGACCGATGGGTTCCAAAGATATGGAAAATCCCCCCAAATGACCCCAGAAGTGTTTGTTTTTTTCTAAATCTCTCTAAAAAGGTCAAATGTCACTTGTTTTGCATCAATCTTGATACAGGGTACTTATTATATGTTATAGTTTGTATTCCTAAAGCTTTTAGTCTACTATCCCATCATTCAAGGGTGGTTTTTCACTATAAGTAATGTTGTTTTTTTTGGACGGACACTATAATTTACATTTTTTTACTATGTTCAATCTGAATTTACTTTAAAATAAAAAAAAATCTATATTGATTCTGAATTTTCTACATCCAACTCACAGGTTTATCATTACTTTGAGAGAAAAGATTATTAATTTACCCCTTTTAGAAGTGAAGATATAGTCATTTGTTCTGGGAATGTCATTTTCGAGCCTGAGACTGTTGTGTTCAAAATTCCAGGAAAGACAGACAACTTCTAAGTTTAACTATTTATTATAAGAGAGCAAAATATATATATTCAATTGGCCAAGGACTCCGTCACGTCATAGAAAAGAGCCCCGACCCTCGTGCGACAATACATTTTTATTACACAGGGCGTTGCCCGTACATTTATGATTGGTTGAGACTAGATGGAGAGTAACCTTGGTTTAGACTGTGGCTCTCTCTCGTTGGTGTGCAGACTCAGACAGAGTCTCTTGGCAACACAAGCTTCCAATCAGCATTCGGCCGGCCTGTGGAAGTCCCTCCCTACTCTGTCACCATCATAAGTAATTTGTTTTTGCTAAAGTTTCTACAGAAAAAGTGGAATCTTCATAATGCTGCTTCCTAGCTATGTGCTCAAGGTCGGAGTGAGGTCCTGTTTATGAATAACTCTTTGTATTCTTCCAGTGTCTGCACCTGACCTTGCTACTCTGTATTGCAGGCTAAAGACGTCTATTTATTCCAAAGTTACAGCAACATAAAATTAGCACAATAAAAAAATTATAATCACTCACAAGAAGTTAAGAGGCCATGTCACGAAGTTAATTTGATTGAAACAACTTTCTACATTACCTAAATTGATCATTCATGTTGCTGTATGTATATTTTTGACCCAGCAGATTTGATCACATTTTCAGAAAAGCCATTATAAATTCATAAAAGAACCAAAATTCATGATTTTTGTTTTGTGACAAAGTAGTATGTGCTCCAATCACTCTATCACAGAAAAATAACAGTTGTAGACATTATTGAAAAGTCCAGACTGTCATGGTATACATGTTCTTTACAAGTGTATGTAAACTTTTGACCACAACTGTATATAAAGTGAGGCAACACTAACCAGGCATAGTGTGATGCTGTTTGTTTTTACCAAACTTTTAATGAACGTCTGTTCGCTGTAATTTCCTGTTTTGAAGACCAGCACACTGCCTCATACGATTTCCTGTTGGTTTTTATTATATCAGCTATCGGGTCGAATCAGTACATGGGCTACACAAGTAAGATCATAAAGAAAAATACGGCGGTAAAATATGCCTGTAGAAAATATGATAACAACAAACAGTCAGGTGAGCTTCAGTTGCTATGCTAACATCACCTGTCTAATACCAGAGACACTTTAATAACGGTGTTGTGATGCCAAACAGCTTCAATTCATACTGAAACACATTCACTTATGGGGATGGGGGATATGTATCAGCTGCTGTGTGACAGTCAGACAGTGAATACTTTACAGCGGCCGCTGCGGTGGGTTAATGGGAGAATAAACTCTGCTGTGAGTTAACGGAAGAATAAACTCTGCCGTCAGTTAACGGTAGACTAAACTCTGCCGTGAGTTAACGGGAGAATAAACTCTGCCGCGAGTTAACGGTAGACTAAACTTGCCTTGAGTCTCCAACGGGAGACTAAACTCTGCCGTGAGTTACGGGAGAATAAACTCTGCCGTGAGTTAACGGGAGAATAAACTCTGCCGTGAGTTAACGGTAGACTAAATTCTGCCGTGAGTTAACGGGAGAATAAACTCTGCCGTGAGTTAACGGTAGACTAAACTCTGCCTTGAGTCTCCAACGGGAGAATAAACTCTGCCGTGAGTTAACGGTAGACTAAACTCTGCCGTGAGTTAACGGTAGACTAAACTCCGGTGGACGAGCAGCATTGCAGCGGTCGGTAAATTCCGCTGAGCCACATTAATAAACAAGGAACCACGGCAATCTGGAGAAAAGTATAAGGTTGGATAAGTCGTTCTTTAATTTAATCTGGCTTCGCATGATCAAAAGCAACACGATCATCGACCCGACGCAGTCCCCCATGGTTGTTGCTGTGAGCGGCGTTGGGGAGAAAATCAGCGACGTAAACGGTGATGTCATGACGCAGCAGCAGTCAGGCTCTGAGTGGTGGAAACACAAGTGGGGCTAAAAAGAAGAACCAGTTTGGAACCAGAAAAGCACAAACAAGGTGCCAGAACTGGAACTGGTCTGGTGGGGTATTTGAGATATAGAGGTGAAAAGGGAGAGGACATTGCCTGTATTGTTCCGGTGGCTCGGGATTCAAACCGGCCTACTAGGTAGTAGTCACTGCTTATTGGCCAACTTATCGACATACTTTCCCTCAGTTCTATGTCGCCTTCTTTTGCCTTATTCTTAATTTATTGTCTTCACAATTTCAAATCCTCTTTGCTTTCCCTGCGCTCTGTGTCTTTTCTTCATAATTTCTCATCCATCACTGCTTACTAGTTCTCCATATCTGTTGTGTAGTCTGTCTGACATCATGTTTTCTTCTGTGGTACTGCCTATCCTGAACCTTGAAAATGTTTCTGCTTAAATAAAGGTTCAATTAAATGAAAGGGCATACTTATACACACGTCTGGTCTTCACAAGTACAGAAACACACAAATGCTTCAGTGTCACACACACAGTCCGTCTAATTTAAGCTTTCTTAATTATGAGGCTGTGATCCTATGAAGGTAGATATGGTGCAAAATGCGAGAGCGTGTACAACCTGATGTGAGCACTTGCAGAAAGAAAATCTGAGCTTGTGTGCATACATTTACACGTATATAAAATATCCACGTATCTGTGAACCACATTTGAAGTCACAGAAGAAAAAAAAAGTTTTGTAGCTTGTAGAAAAAAAATGAACTTAGTAATGAAATGTTCACTTGCAGAAAAATATATATTTTTTAAATATATTTTCCATTACAACTGCAACTTGGTTATTACAACCTCTCAAATCAGTAATTACAACTTCACGAATCTGCTCTGTGGCAGTATAAATCGACAAATCTGCGGCCTTGACTTTTGCTACACTTCTTGCGATGAATGTGTCGCTAAAGTAATTTTCACCTGTAGATGTGGGGGGAGGAACATGGGGAGGAAGGGGGGTTGGAGCAAAGGGTTGTCGAGTACGCTTGCTTGGTAGCACATGTCTTCCGAGTCACTTGCTTCAGAAGCGAGTCAAGAATACTTCCTGGCATTCGGAAAACGAAGAGTGGAACAGGCTAGCAAGTGTGCAGGTGTGCGTCATATGAGAGGCCCCGTCTTACATTTTCCGCCACAGATTTGGGGAAATTGGTCCGTGCACAAAGCATTGTGGGGATTTTAAGACCGCGGAGTCTACACATGTGCAGGCTCGAAATTTCTCGCTACGAAGTACACCGGGCTCGGTAGAATTCCAAGTATGCTGGAGATTGGAACAGTACTTCGGCGGCACTCAATGACGTAGTATGCTTGAAATAGTGGCTCTGGAGCAGCTTTACTCGACATTGAGAAACACTCACAGCCATATCAGGTCGAACCGTATGACTGCGGGGCCCTGCATGTTGCCCCTTTCACACCAATGCGGTTCCAGGGCCGGTTCGGAGCTTGTGCCTGATAAGCACCGGTTTTTCCTGTTCACGCCGCAGCGGAGACGGCTTTTTTCCCCGAAAACCGGTTCTTACCAAGCTCGAAAAAAGTGTCGGTCTAGGCAAGAACCGCATACGTCACGCTTACGTCGGAGGGGGGCGAGATTAACCTGAACTAACAGTTTATGGGAGAGTAGTGTTGGATTGTGTTCGTTGTTCTCGCGTCCAGGAGAGAAGTTAAAATAAAGAGACTAATGGAGTCTCTGAAAAGGTTCAATTTGGTACTTTAATTAAGTAGCGTGGTAATGAAACAAACAGAGGAGTATTGGAGACAGTCAGCTGTTGTCTCGAAGTTGTGCGGTGAAAAAGAGAGCGAACAAGCCTCGCCACCTATCTATATATCTCATCCATGACTCCTCCTCTCAATGGCGGCCGGTGACGTAGGGGGTCCGCCCTCCTCTCTCTTCTGTGTCCGATATCGCGTAAAACAGAGGATTCAGACGTAGTGTGGTCATTGTATAACTCCACACGCCTTTTCTCCTCATACACTCTTTCATGACTTTTTATTTAATGCATTTTAACGGCTGTAATCGTTGTTAACGTAAAACCCGAAGTGACGTCACTGTTGATAAGCGGAGACTCCTTCCAGTAAAGCTTTTCAAAATAAACTTTAGCAACAACGTTAGCCACAAGCCAATGCTAACCGGAAATGTTTTCAGAATAAAACAGTTTTAAGCTTACTGTATATTTAAACTAAATTACGTCATTAAACATTGATTTTAATTTCTTACAGTAGCCTATGGCAAATAAAAGTTGAAACAAGCAGTAGGGCTGAGCAAAGTGACTAGAACGCAACCACACACTTGTAAAAAAAACACACTTTATAAAGTCAGGCAACACTAACCAGTAACCAGGCTTCGTGTGATTCTGTTTATTTGACCATCCGTTCACTGTTATTGATCATTGTGGAGGGGGCAGACGTTTTGTTTTGTATTATATAGCAGCTATCAGATGGAATCAATACATGGGCTGCACAGGTTGTCATGTCCGACTATCACAAGTAGAATCATAATGAAAAATACGCCGGTAAAATGTGCCTGTTGAAAACGGCTTATGCCACAAGTTATAGCAACAAGCTACAAGTAGCCTAGTCAATATAGTCAGTTTAGCTTCGGATGCTATGCTAACATCACCCATTTTATACCAGAGAAACTTTCATAACAGCGTTGTGATGCCAAACAGCGTCAATTCAGACTGAAACACATTCACTTAAGGGGAATTGGGGATATTTACAGTATCAGCTGCTTGTGTGACAGTCAGACAGTGAATAGGCCTACTTTACAGCGGCCGCTGCTGTGAGTTAACGGGAGAATAAACTCCAGTGGACGAGCAGCACTGCAGCCAGGGTGTAGTGGGCGTTGGACGCGGGGGTACGCTGTACCCCCACTTATTTGAAGCATGATTTTTTTTTTATAGTCTAATAAATATAAAATCATTGCCAGTGTTATCAGTTGCAAGTGTGTATTTGTTGTAATAATGACGAAAACATAATACATTTCACAGTAATTATAATAAAAACGTAGCTCAAGCATTTATGCAACTTGATTTGAAGCGTGTGTGTGTGTGAGGGGCAGCACCGTGTGTGTGTAGGGTGACCAGGTGTCCCGCTTTGTGCGGGACTGCACACACAGCATTTTTATTATTTGTCCCGCGTCCCACAAATTGAGACTATGTCCCACATTTGAGTGACAGTCGCGCAGAAAGGCCAGCTCGGTTCGCTGACGGCCGGCACCGCCCTTTATTATTATATTGTCTAAACGCCATCATGTAAGTTGCGCTGACAGGCAACACAGAGGTCCACAGTGAGCGAAGCACGGAGCTAGAACGGGAGCTGCGTTGGTGTGAAATGGGCAACAGTAGTCACTTGTGTGTGACTGACCCGAGCTTGCGCCTCGTCGTTCTAATAGCTCCGCCCCTTCACTCCAACCCCCCTCCCTCCCCCCACATCTACAGGTGAAAATGACTTTAGCGACACATTCATCGCAAGAAGTGTAGCAAAAGTCAAGGCCGCAGATTTGTCGATTTATACTGCCACAGAGCAGATTCGTGAAGTTGTAATGACTGATTTGAGAGGTTTGTAATAACTGTGAACATTTCATCACCAAGTTCATTTTCTTCTACAAGCTACACAACTTTTTATTTTCTTCTGTGACTTCAAATTTGGTTCACAGATACATGGATATTTTATACAAATGTATGCACACAAGCTCAGATTTTATTTCTGCAATTGCTCACATCAGGTTTTACACACTCTCGCATTTTGCACCATATCTACCTTCATATGATCCTCTGCACTGAGAATTATGGCTAGAGGCAAGTATATAAATATGTGTGGGTGTTGTGTGTGTGGTGTGTGTGTGTGGTGTGTGTGGTATGTGTGTGTGTGTGTGTGGTGTGTGTGTGTGTGTGTGTGTGTGTGTGTGTGTGTGTGTGTTGTGTGTGTGTGTGTGTGTGTGTCAGAGAGAGCTCTAGAAAATGTCCTTTCCAACAATGGAAGCAGGGTTGTAAATCCTCTGCTTTAAAACTAATTTGTTATATTGTTAAAACCAAAACTACCTTAAGGTTTAAATGCTTCTTTGTGTTTCCAGACAACATTCATATCATGCAGTGAATTGTCAGCATGGTGTGATCTGAGCAAGTAAATCATGAAGGATGTTATTTTCTTAATGTTTTAAATGTTTTAAATAACTGGTGTCATAGATAGTGACTTTATAAAGTCGCTGGCTGTGGCGCAGTGGGTTAGTGCACCGGTTCAATCCCACCTTGACCCCCATTGCAGTGCACTACTCCCAGGGTGTTGTCCACAGTATTGAATGTATTACATGTCTAATAAGTAACATATGGTCTGTCCCTCTCCACAGCAACAACCCTGCTCACCGGTACTACCTGGCCACGGACCCGGTCACAGGACAGCTGTACGTGTCGGACACTAACTCCCGCCGCATCTACAGACCCAAGACGCTCAGCGGCGCCCGTGACCTCATCAGTAAGTGTGCACTGCATTTCCCCAGTTGCATTTATTTTTGTATTGTGGATTCATCTTCCTGATATGGTATTGGAAAAGTTCAAGCATAGGGAATGTTGTAATTATGGATGCTATGTGTTTTCAGGTAATGGAGAAGTAGTGGCTGGTACAGGTGAACAATGTCCTCCATTTGATGAAGCACGATGTGGAGATGGAAGAAAAGCTACAGAGGCACAACTGCTGGGACCTAAAGGTACACAAACACACACACACACACACACACACACACACACACACACACACACACACACACTGACTTCACAACATATTTATCCTACATTTAGAAAGAGAAGCATATCATTACATCAGTTTTCTCATCTTTAGAATTGCATCCCATATCAGAACCCAGTAGAGCTTCAGAGCTGTACTGACTTGTTAGAAGTCCCCACACTGGGCCATTAATGATACGTGTGCACTGCATGGGTTTATGGGATGTACAGTAGGAGCTATCAAAGACATTTATTGCATTAAACTATTATGACCAATTGTATCTGTGGTGTTAATTGCTCCATCCACCAAGCTGCACCAAGTCCCACTCACCACCATTTCTTTCATTCCTGTTTAATTGGCATCCCGGGAATACTGCTTCACACAGAGATGACTGGCTTCATCACAACTGGACTGTGTTTATTGCGGCCTCAAAGCTCAACGCAGATTAACAATGCCCCGACAATATACCTGGTGGGAATAAAGATTTTATGCAAATTAAAATCATTAATGCTTGGCATAACACATTTCCACTTGTCTGGATATTTAAAGTCAATATCACTGCATCAAAAACACTGAATAAATGGTTATGCAAGCAGTACATTTGATGATGATGTCATGGTGTTGTTGTACATTTTGTATTGTTTAGGATGTAACAGTGACTTTGGTTCACATATAATCCTTAGGCCTCCTAGTTTGAATACATTATAACATACAGCACATTTTACTCCACTTCTGAAAAGCATATATGGAATTTAAAAGCCTGTATGTATTTGTTGTATTGTATTTTAGTCACAATCGTTGCTATTTTGCGCCATCGTATTATCAGTATGTCGATTTCCTGAATGTGTTGGGTCTGATGTAACTACCAAAGGAAATATGCTTAAATGTACATTATTTAATCATTCTAATTATAAAAATAGTGGGTTTTTTCACAAAACAACCGTATAAATTACATGAATTTCTTACTTTTTTCATGAACAATTTTAGTGAATCTTATTACGGTCTCTGAGGTGTCTGTTAAAACACTCTTTTGTGATTTTCACTCCCAATTTGCATAAGTTGACAAGCCTTTTTCAATAGTTTGGTTATGATCTTTGAATAGTGACTTGCCATTGTAAGTGATTGTTATCTTTTCAGATGTAGTAATGATGAGAAAATGGGGTGACACAAATCTCAAGCATTACATTTTGTATTTAGCCGTACCGTGGTGTAAACTCAGGTTATTAGTTTAGTGGCAATGATAAGATGGTGTATTGTATTGCCATATCAACACGCTTAATTGTAATTAGCCTTAGTTAGTTTATTTAAATAAAGAGAGGGAAATAGCGCAGCATCAAACGCCCTTCAGGTGCATGAAAAACGTTTGCCCTGTCGTCGCCATTCAGAACAACTGTTCCCTATAAAATGCAACACAACATGTGCACGGGGTGCAGAACCTCCGTATACCAGAATACAGCAACATAGCATCCTGAACTAAATAACCTCCCTGTGGGATGGCTGCTGTCCTCTGAAGGTAACAGGAAGTGCTATGGGAGGACAGACTTCTACAGCCACATGTGTCCTTACATATATTAGAATTATGAATGTGCTCAGTGTTTGAGTAGATCATTGAACCAAGAGGAACAGCGTATGGTGGACACTGAAAACATTTGATGGCCAACGTATCAATTGTATATAGTATTTTTATTTTAACATTTACAGATTTATTTTTGTTATTTCTTTATACTATATTCTATTTTGCTCATCTACTGTATAGATATCTTTTATCACTGCTGACAGTTTTCATCTTGGCTGGCTTTGCCTGAATACACTCGTGTTTTTTCTCTTTATATTATCTGCATCATGCTGCAGCTGCATCCTGCCTCCCCACAGGAGAAGACCTCACCTTCCTTTCCTTCTTTGGGTCCTGGAGCTGATGTATTAATAATCACCTGGACAGCCATGGCGTTGAGTTGTGTGTGTTCCTTGTTTCTGTTCCCCAGGATTGCAGTAGACAGGAACGGATTGATCTACTTTGTGGACGGGACTATGATCAGGAAAGTTGATCGTAATGGAATCATTTCCACGATGCTGGGCAGCAACGACCTGACCTCTGCACGACCTCTGACCTGCGACACCAGCATGCACATAAGACAGGTAACAGTCTACCTAATTATACTTCATGCACACTGACTGCTTTCCTGTCACTACTACACTTTAGATTAACAATGTCACATTTGCATTGGAACAACTTGTCTCCATGATGTAAACTGCTCTGCAATACGTTGCATTTGTATGTGATTCATGGGAGACAGGGTTGTAAAATAGACACAAAAAGGCTAGTTTAAAGGAGGTTGTGATTCAACCCAGTTCATACAGTATGTGGCTCTGATGTGCCCTCAGAACATTTTTGTTTTTAAATCTTAACGATTGGATTTGGTGACCTTTACAGACTTTTTCTTAATTTATATTAAAAAACGTCAGACAGAGGAGAAACTGAAAGGGAGTATGAGAGGGAGTAAAATGGAGGAATGCAGGGTACTTTAGATTTGTTTCAGAGTGAGAATGTATAATCTTACATCCACGAGATGGACTTCAGGATGGAAAGAGCACCACCTACACACGTGCACAAACACACACACACACACACTCATTGTTGTTGGGTCTTGTTTCATCTAATCGTTGACACTCTGTGGGGTCTGTTTGAGCATTTCTTGCAGAGTTGAAGTTGTGTGGACTGTGATTGTGTCCTCCTCAGAGCTTAGCTCAGTTTGACTTGCTGTTGTCTGGTTGACCTCCTGAGTTCACTTGTAGAAACAAATAAACGGCGGCCCGCACACCTTTTAGGTTTTCAGCTCTGACTGCAGATTCATGTTGGCCAATTTAAGTCTGTAGGTAGGTGTATAAATGCATCAGATATATATTTGACATATGCCCCTCAGTCCTCTTTATTTTCAGTCAAGAAGATCTGGCCTTAAGCAACCTGTTCTCTCTTTCTGAAGCAGCAGTCATCTGTTTTGTTTTTATATAACATTTTTAATCCATCTGTCATTCTCAAACAGTACCACCACCAGTACCATGTGTTGTGATTCATTTAACTCAGATACACTGGCAGAATTCCACCAGGAAATACACTGTATATCATCAGTAGTATCAGATAGCAAATCAATGTATAATTAAAGAGTAGCATGTGAAGTGAAAGTCTCTCTCCTCTTTGTATCCAGGTTCGTTTGGAATGGCCCACAGATCTAGCCATCAATCCAATGGATAACTCCATCTACGTCCTGGACAACAACGTTGTGCTGCAGATCACTGAAAACAGACAGGTAATGTCCATACGCACTGCATGAAGTATGCACAATACATCTTCAAATGTTAGTTCAATAAATGAAGTTGATAGAGTAACATAATAAAACTGTATCTATATATGAAATACCCTCATGCAATCATGCCAATAAAACCAGCATCCATATATTTGTATTTTGTATTTGTTTTTAATGATTTAAGAAGGGACAACATGAGCACTTGAGTCCACATTAACACACAACTGACAAAAAAGGCGACATACATAAGCCAGGATAAAGGCTTAAAAAGCACAGACAGCATGTTTGACTGTCCAGTAACCGCTGGGATGTTTGGTCCTTAGTTGTGTGGGTCCAGTGTTCTGGGTATGTGCTGCCCAATAGGAAAAGGCTGACGAGTGCATGTGTGTGTACAGGTTCGTATAGTGGCGGGGCGTCCCATGCACTGCCAGGTCCCTGGGATAGAATACACCATGGGGAAGAGGGCAGTGCAGACCATGCTGGAGGGGGCCACAGCCGTCGCCCTGTCCTACAGCGGGGTCCTCTACATCGCAGAGACGGACGAGAAGAAAATCCACCGCATCCGACAGGTAACCTTGACGACATGTACTCCTGAAGTCAGAGTAACAATTGTGATCACTTGAAATGCCAAGTGATTGTAAGTTAACAGAGATCTCAGGATGAGCCGCACGTGTCAGATGAAGATGAGGAAGATGAACTGGATGCTCTCAGTGGTTCCTTTGGTTTTCTTCTGTTGGCCTTTATGAATGTATCATTCTGTCTTTCCCCTGCTAGGTGTCCACTGATGGGGAAATAACCCAGCTAGCTGGAGAGCCTTCTGACTGTGACTGCAAGGTACTGTACAACAGCAACCTCACATGTACAACAGCCCTGCATTTTCTTCTTTTTCATATCCTATTTTTAGCCTGCTTGTTATAGAAGAGAATAACTGTTCTCCTTGAATGTGTATGATTGTTCCCACGTCCTTCTTTACTCTTTATATGTTGTTTACAGAAACCAGGTTACACTGTTCATGTTGTGCTTTCTCTATCTGTAACTTCTGTTCTGTCTTTGCTCCTTCTTCCTCTCCCTCCTCTCCCTCCCTCCCTCCCTCCCTCTCCCGCCTCTCCCTCCCTCCTCTCCCTCCCTCCCTCCTCTCCCTCCTCTCCCTCCTCTCCCTCCCTCCTCCCTCTCCCTCCTCTCCCTCCCTCCCTCTTCATCCTGCAGAACGATGCCAACTGTGACTGCTATCAAACAGGAGACGGCTACGCTAAAGATGCAAGGCTGAACTGCCCTGCGTCTTTAGTGGTGTCTCCTGATGGGACCCTGTATGTGGCTGATCTGGGAAACATCCGGATTCGAGCCATACGCTGCAACCAACCCCCCACTGGTGTGTATATAGCACACACACGCAGAGTGGACATACTGCTGTTGCTACATATCTGTATGTGTGGAAAGAAGGGCCTCACTTTTGAAAATAAATGTTTATATATATCAAGACCAATCCCCAGCTTCTGTCTCCCAAACATCGGCTTTGGATTCAAATGGTTACAGTTACAAGCATCACTCTGGTGCACTTTGAGAGCAGAACTAAGAGGCTTTTTCTTTATGGATATTTGACAAATCACTCCCCTTTTAAACTGTATTCGTGTTTATTAATAACAACTTTGTTTTACTGTCAGATAGTATTTTATACCTGTTTTTCATTTATTCTCTTGTTTTTTTATAACTATAATGATCATATAAGGTCTAGATTTTTTTTTCGTGTGTTTATAAATTACCTCGAGGGCCTTATCAAATGATCTCGCGGACCGTATACGTCCCGGAGGCCTGAGGTTCCCCACCCCTGCTCTATGGCATTGTTGACTAATCGGTGCTGGGAAGATCTTGTACGAGTGTCTTAAAGACATGAAAGTGATAGTATGAAATGTATAAAGCGGTTGTGTGTGCAGGCTCCCTGGCTTCAGGACCCAGCTCCTATGAAGTGGCCTCCCCCGCCTCCCAGGAGCTCTACGTGTTTGATGGGAACGGGACTCATCAGTTCACCATGTCTCTGGTCACTGGAGACTATAAATACAACTTCAGCTACAGGTTGGTTTGTGTGGACATTAACTTGTAAACTTGTAAAACATTCATAGAGAGTTTTGTTTACGGAGTGGATACGGCACATGCCATATAACCACGACGTAACAGGTTTGATTCTATCTGTTGGTCCCCTGTTGTATGTCATAACTCTCTCTCTAATTGCATTTCTACACTGCCAAAAAAGGGAATCTCAAAAAACAAATACAAAATGTGTATTTTTCTTACTTTTATTTTCATGTTTGTGTTCCCTGTCAGCAATGAGGAGGATGTTGACGGCAGTGACGGACAGCAGTGGGAACACCCTGCGTATCCGCAGAGACACCAACAGGCTGCCTGTACGCGTGGTCGCCCCTGACAACCAGGTGAGATGAACCGACTTTAACCATTGGTGCACAACTTTTACTTTTCTTATCAAAATATATATTAACAAAAAACATAATTCAAGAAGATCCTGCAGTTTCATGAAAGAGCTGAAAAATCTGTTTTGATAACAACAAATATTTATCACAGTAAAGAAACTCATCGTGGCGTCTTACTGACTGCCTGCAACAGGCCTAATCTGTGTGTGTGTTGTGTGTGTGTGTGTGTGTGTGTGTGTGTGTGTGTGTGTGTGTGTGTGTGTGTGTGTGTGTGTGTTTGCAGGTCATCTGGCTGACCATCGGGACTAACGGAGGTCTGAAGACTCTCACGGCTCAGGGTCAGGAACTGGTCTTGTTTAGTTACCATGGAAAACAGCGGCTTGCTGGCTACCAAGAGCATCAGATAGGCTGGACCACCTTCTATGAGTGAGAGCTCCACTGTCTTTGTAATGGGGGACATGTTTGCACCGCTGAGGGGTGCATGGACAGTTGGATCTTCACATTTCAAAAGTGTTAAAAACCAACTGAGAAGGAGAGAAGCCTTTAAGGGTTTTATAGAGAAAAACTCTTCTGACAGATTAGCATTCCCTTATGTGATGTACACCTGCTCAAACTAGCTCAAAGTGGTTTATATTGTCAGGATCACAGATTTGTAACATCCAGTCCTTCATTTGCCTACAAGTTAATGTCTGGACATAATTCTGTGTCGGACTATAAAATAACAGACGACCTATGTAATGGGTAGAAACTCCACTGAATATAATATCCAACTCCTAAAAGTATATTATTTATCTACCTTCCGCTGAGTAGAAATAACAAAATAAATGTATAAATGCTGTAAGAAACTGGCAAAGGCTGGGTGTGGTGTGTGCCCATGTGCAGGTTGTGTTTTTTTTTATGTCTCATACTTTCACAAGGTTCCGTAAGGGACAATTACACAGTAATGGCAACCTAATCCCTGATCCCCCCCCCCTCCTCACCGTCCTTGTAGCTATGACAGCGAGGGACCGTCTGAACTAATGTGACCTTCCCCACCGAGTGGTGACCAATCTCCACGGCGACATGTCGTCAGGGGCTGTTGCTGTGGACATTGAGACGTCAGGGAGGGATGAGGACGTTCCATAAAACCAATCTGTAGTAATAGACTAATTCTACACTATGGTGCAGGGTAAGCTGATGTGTGTGTGTGTGTGTGTGTGTGTGTGTGTGTGTGTGTGTGTGTGTGTGTTGTGTGTGTGTGTGTGTGTGTGTGGTGTGTGTGGTTGTGTGTGTTGTGTTGTATGTGTGTGGTGTGTGTGTGTGTGTGGTGTGTGTGGTGTGTGTGTGTGTGTGTGATGTTGTATCAAGGGTTAGGAGGTGGTGGCCAATCTACTAAAGAAAGCCCTCCGGGGTCTTCCCTCTACACCGTCATAAATATAGCTCCACCTTAGCTTCATTATGGTCTCCAGCCACCACCACCTTCCTGGCACTAACCTGAGGCAAACACCTCAAACTATTAAATCTATATTTCTCCAACAAATCATGAATGTGTTATTCAGATTGCTTTCCACATATTTACATATATGAGTGCTGGGCAGGCAATTACAATTTGTAATTGCGATAAGAACGTGTTAACTTACCCAGCCCCCCAAATATATATACAGTCTATAAAGACACTTGGTTAGGGTCTAAGTGATTTATATCCACATTAATCTTTTTTTTATAATCCATAATTCATAAACTCAGTTAGTTGTTTTTTAAATGTACTGATCGACCATCAACCAACTATATTTTTAAAATGTGTAATGTTTTCTTGACATTTTGTCCATCACAGCAGTACCTTGGATTTCAGTTGATGATGAAAACACTGTTAAGAACATGAAACATTATACATCTCGATGTAAACCTTTGAAGAATACACCTGAGTGAGGAAGTGCGGTACAGCACAATGCCTCCCAGTGAGAGTTCTAGATTGAGTGGAACTGCCAGAGGAAAAATAAAGTTAGCTCCACCATCGTCATCATCCTTCATATCAGACAGTCAGGCTAAACGGCGGGGGGAAAACAATAATTTAGCACTGATGCCCTTGTTAAATCTGAACTAATGAGCCAGTTGAAGTGGCCGGCAGCGATTTGTTCCAGAGCGAAACAAGTGTCCCCGAGGGTGAGGGAAAACAGACTCACAGCAGTATTGATCAGAATGTAATGAGTTATTCAAAGCCATCGACAAGTGTAGCATTCCTCTCCATCAATACGTGTACATTATTCATGGTCTGGCCCTCCCCGCTATCATCTCTGCCGCACAGTGAGCCGGTGCTCCAGGTGATGTGGATCACAGGTGGTGAGGTGCAGCACAGGAAGAGAAAACAAGCTGCTGTCTGGTCAGCTGGAGGCTGCTCACTGCTGTTTTAAAAGCAGGGGAACATGTTGGTAATGCAGAGGTTCATTTTTCCGTCCTCAAACATAGGCGAAGTCGTACAAATTGTGCTCAAATTATTTATTTACCAAAAATGCAGAATCAAAAATATTTTCCTTTGAAAAAGAATGAATTAAATAAATAAAGATGAGTGCTCCAATTACTCAAATTAGGTTTTCCTTTGGTCCCAACAAAATATTAGCATACAAATACCACGGCTGCTGCCTGCTCTGCCACTACACCAAGACTGGCAGTATGGTGCCAAAACAGTCCCTAAATACACAGAGCCCCTCCCAGAAGGCTTATCATTCTATTAGCATTTTCTGCTTCTTAACCTTCTTCAAAATATATACACTATTTGATAACAATTTAATGAATAAATAGGTTATTCATCATCAAACTTCATCATCATCTATAATAATAACCAGAACACAATATAAGTATGCTCTCACGTGACCTAGAGATTGCATCAGTAAAGTTAAATCAAGGAAATGATGCGTTATTCTAGCCCCTGGGCAAGTAGCAATGATGTACACATCGCCAGATAGTTAAAAAAATGTTGTAGTAATCTTGTGAAACTGAAAAGTACAAAGCATTGCAATCAATACATGTTACAACAATATAAACATAAATGAAATCTATAAACATAGATGAATCATTAAACTTACAAACAATGCCTCCAGGTCTACATGAGCAGATGGAGCCGGATGTAAGAGGAGGTACAACATGTGGCTCTCTAGCTTGTCTGTCAGAAAAACATGGCCGTTGACCTTTCAACTCAGTCATGTGACTATGTAATGTGACCTCTACTGGCCAATGAAAACACAAACAGAAAAAAATTGCATGAATATGCTGCAATCAAGCCCAATTGCCTCTAGGAGGTGCTATAACAGCAAAACCGAAACTTACATGTAACGTGACAATGCGCCTCGCCAGGGGGCGATACTGCCCGCTCACCGCCAGACACGTAAGCACAACATTGCAAATTGAATGTATGTTTAAATAAATGTAGGACCAAAGAGTGTGCACCAAGGTCGCGCTACCGGACCCAGTTTAAACATTATTACTGAGGAACGGAAGGGAGCAGGACTCTGTGTGTGTGTGTGTGTGTGGTGTGTGTGTGTGTGTGTGTGTGTGTGTGTTGTGTGTGTGTGGTGTGTGTGTGTGTGTGGGTGTGTGTTGTGTGTAGTGTGTGTGGCCTAGCATTACTATCCTTGTGGGGACCTACATCTGTTTACACAGTCACGTGTGGGGACTCGCCTCCCTTATGGGACATAATGGAGGTCCCCATGAGGGGAATCATTAATTTTAGGGTGAAGACTTGGTTAGGGTTTTGGGGAACACACGGTGCTTCCGTAGGAGCGCCAGCGTGGTGCACGGGCTCTCGGGTCAATATTTGTTGTTTTAACAAACCTATTTAAAAACTCCTGTAATAAACCAATAAAAGTTTTATAAAAAGCCCTTTGTTTGGTCTGTGTTAAAAATGTTTTAATTAAATAAGGGTAAGGGTTAGGGTTAGGCTTGTGTTGGTTATGGTTAAGGTTAGGATAAGTCTCCAGGAAATGCATGTAAGTCAATGTAATGTCCCCCTGAAGTGATGTATACATGATGTGCGTGCGTGCTGACTGCGTGCGTGCGTGCGTTGCGTGCGTATGCGTGCGTGCGTGCGTGAGGTGTATGCATACGCTTGTCAGTGGAGTGGTCGGTCCAGTCGGTGATCCGCTCCCGTCACACAGGGCCTGACAGATGCTCTACATGGTGATGGCATGTGATGGCTGGCAGTAATGAGCGGTGTGCTGTCTTTCCACATGCATGACACACTGTACAAAGCCTTGCTTTTGTGCTGGAAATGGCTAGTGGGTGGCTACAAGTGACACATCACATCACCCCCATAATATTGAACCACAACATACATTCACCATCAAAGAAATAACACAGCGGCCGCTGTTAGCAGGAACCACATTTTAGTTGAACATTTTAAATATCTTTGTCATTCAAACATGTCTATCTGCATCCCCTCCCCCCCTCGCTAACTTCAGCTCAGCATTGATACAGTGTTTTGAATCCATGCCTTGAAAACAACCCCAGGCATGGATCCAATGTGGAATAGTGTTATGGATCTTCTTCATGCTCTCTCTTCTTGTCTTTTAGACCAGCTTCGTAACAGCTACCATGTGGGGAGCGACCACTCACTGAGGGTGATCTATGCCAATGGGATGGACACACACTACCAGACAGAGCCCCACATACTGGCAGGTATGCAGCTTCAGCACAAAACCCTCAAAGTGTACTGTAGACTAAAACATAATCAACTGAAATGCATTTATGTAGGACAAACCCCTTGAGATGGGGTCCTAACATACAGTACAATCAGCAAGACAGTCTTTTTTATGACAAAACCAAATGAAGTCACAATACAACCACAGACATTATTACTACAAGTCACAACACAAACAGAGGATGCCGAGATTAGCATGTGAACCAGGCAGGGCATCAGAACCATGTTTCATTTCTTCCACTCCCACACTCATAGATCACAGTTTGGACTCATTAGGATTTGTTTTCACTGCAAATATCAGAAAACATCAGATAAACAACACAATGCTATTGTGCAGACGTTTCCATTAACAGCTGAGCAATACTCAGTGGTGGAATGTAATTGACTTTACTTGAGTATTTTCACATAATAGTATTTATACTTTTACTCCCCTACATTTTGTAGACAAATGTTTTACTTTTTAATCCAACTACATTGTTTTTACAGATATAGTCACTATTTACTTTGCAGATTGGATTATTAATACAAAATCTAAATCAACTAATATATTATCCTCTATAATTATAGATTAAGCTACCCAGTAGTATATAAAGTCATTCAAATAAACTCCACTTTTACCAAGAGCAACATTGAAGTGATGAACACGTTAATGCATCAATATTTATAATGTAATAATCTAAAACATAAGGTGCCTAAAAGGGCCCATTCTGCATAACGAGTCCTTTTACTTTTGGTACTTAAATTATATTGTAATGCTCAGACTTTTTTACTTTTACTTAAAGAGCAACTTGCAGGGTTTTTCTATTTACTACATTTATGCTTAACTTTGCCTGAAATTACTGAAAAGTTGTGCGAGGTGCATCCACCCCCCTGCAGCACATACTCTCTCCAGAGGCCATGGGCTGGCATTTCCCACACAAGCACCTATCAAACAAAACGTTGATCAGGAAACCGTATTACATCTCTCTCCCCCCCCCCCTTCGCTCCTCTCTCTCTCCCCCCTTCGCTCCTCTCTCTCTCCCCCCTTCGCTCCTCTCTCTCTCCCCCCTTCGCTCCTCTCTCTCTCCCCCCTTCGCTCCTCTCTCTCTCCCCCCTTCGCTCCTCTCTCTCTCCCCCCTTCGTTCCTCTCTCTTCCCCTCCGGTACAGCACCGTAACGTAGTGTGGAGTTGCATTAGGTAACGCGAGATACGGCTGATACTTGCGCATTAGTTTCTGTAATGGATCAGTATCAACAGTCCTGACAGTAACGTTACTATATTATCAATACTACTTTAGTTATAGCCTGATATATGATAGCTAACTTTACAATGTTGTGATGTGACCGATGTTAGCTAACATGAACTGTAGCTAACGCCGGTCACTCACCAGACAGCTGCCCTGTTCTCCACTGGTTCTCCTCACACCACAGCTCCATTTCTCTCCGATGGCCGTTATTTATTCTAATCCTTGGCTGCTCCTGGTCTCTTGGCCGCCTAGCAGGCTCATAATTATAAGGTTGTGGTCCGTCATATGCATACGAATATACATTTCAACCTCTTCTGTGTCAAAACTAGCATTGTGAACCATGTTTATTAATACGTTAGACCGGCTGCTCTCCCCCATGTGACGTCACACGCGGGTGGTCTTTTTTATGCGGAAGTAAGAATGTCTTACAAAAAACGACGCCAGATGTCACTGTAGTGTATATTTCTGTATATCTTTTGAAAATCTAGTGTATACATCATTTTCCTACACATTTATTCACTGGGGTCTCTAACCTGCAAGTTGCTCTTTAAGTACAATTTTGAATGGAGCACTTTAACTGAGTATTTTTACACTGTAGCATTGCTACTTTACTTCTTCCAGCTCTGCTGCAGTGATAATGACCAGCTCAAGTGTCATGTCTCTGCAGGCTGATGTTTTACATCATGTTCTACAGCTAAAGCATTACAGCATGCTTTGGAACATAGTCAATAGCAATTAAAATGGATTAATACCATATGTGATTTGTGTTACACATGGAAGAGCGGGTCGGATTCCAAGCCTATGCAGTCAACATTTGTATAAATGTGTGGGTGTTGATAAAAAAGAGCTCAGTATTATAACCGTACCAGTAGGATTAAGATGATCTGCCATGCACCGTGAAGCTCTGCAGAACCACAAGAATGGCACAAGGTGACCAGGACATTGCAATAAAGTGAAAAATCAACAGTTTCATTTGTTAAAACTATCAACTTGTCAATAATAATAATTCCCCAGGCCATTCCCAAACATTACACACACAGCTCTCATGGACATATTGATGCACTGCTTTTTTCTTGCTTTGCATATTTTTTCATCTTAAGATATTGATGGTATTTATGTCTTTCTCATATCCATTTGAAGGTGCTGCTAACCCAACTGTAGCCCGACGCAACATGACGCTGCCAGGAGAGAACGGCCAGAACCTGGTGGAGTGGAGGTTCAGGAAGGAGCAGACCCGGGGGAAAGTCATCGTGTTCGGGAGGAAGCTCAGGGTGAGTGCTCTCCAGAAACAGGAGAACAGAACAACTCATCTCTGACCGGTGATCTACAACTCTTGCCGTCATCTCTGTAGTGGCCGATTTTCATAAACAATCACAAGTAGTATTACTATTAGACGTGCCACACTTGTAGAATTCCCTATGTATGAATGGCTTAGCACCATTTTTATTTGTTATTTATGCTTTACGGCATGAAACCAGGTCGTAAACAATAATTAACATTACGCATTCCAGAAACATATAAAACTATACAAAAACAGTTTTAAAAAAAATGTAATTCAAAGAATGTACAACTTTCTTGCCAACATAAACATTTACCATAAATAATAATACGCCTGTATGGCTCATTGTAGTACATGTCTTTACTGAGAGTACGGTTAGACTGCATGTTGTTCAATTCATCGATAGTATTCGACGGATAGGGACTAGTTGAATTTAATCATATATATTTACAATAAATATATGATCAGCACATATTGACACACATTCACTCTTAAAAACAAATTCTATATATGTTGTTGTTATGAGCTGTTAGGAGAAGGCAGGGACAGTGAGAGTTTGATCTACACAGTGGAGTCATTCATGTATGACAGCATGTGTGCTGCCCTGATGGTAATGGGGGGGTCATTGTTAAGCTAGCAATAATGACTTGCAGGTAGATGTGTTTTTGTAAATGGGTGTGCAGTATGTACACAGTATAATTCAGCTAGACGCTTGTGACAGTGAAGATCTGTGTTAAAGTGACAGTGGAGCTGTCCTGCTGCAGCACCATGATGCCAGAGTGAGGCGTTAATGATGGTGGGGGGGGCTGTGAGGCTGGATGAACACACTGAAACGTTGACTTTAATTAAATGAATTATGTCAACAAATGTCAACTGTTTTAGGTTAGTTGAAAGCAATAACTCTAAGTTGAACCTAATATTTTCTTATTTAAACACAACATTATTGCTTTCAACTAACCTATGTGAAATTTGCTGACATAATATTTTAATTAAAGTCAACGTTTCAGTTTGTTCAGTGCAGCAGTGAACTTCATTCCAGCCTTTCTGCTAAATGCTATCATGCTGCTTTGTGTGCTAATCCCAGTAAGGAATGTGCATTGAACACAAGATGTGAGTGAATGGAAAACTGAATGTTTTAGCATCTCGGTAGAGGAAATAATGAAAACACCTATTGTCTGTCAGACACAGCAACATGTCTGTGAGATGACCTGAATGTATGTAGGTCACTTGGTAATAGGATGTTTTGTATCTGTATTGCATGTTTTCCTAGGTTTATCAACATACTAAAGAAATGTACTAATGCTCAGGGTCTGTCAGCTATCCCAAACCCCCCACACAAGTACTTTAGTTATTAAATCCCATTCAGTTTGGGTTATTCTGCACAAAGGATGACAGCCATTAGAGATTCCTGTTTGGCAATGCAGTAAAAGCCTCAGTTTGCCTCCAATTATTATGAACATGACAGGCCATGCCAATCTACAAAATGATGTATTCCTCCTGATATGATGTGGCTCTCCTCTCTGGTTTCCCATCCAGCTGGCTACTACTTTAGCCTTTACTCACCTTGCTGCATTCAACTGCTCCTAATTTACAAACGAATGAGTGGCTATATTAAAAAAAGAGAAAATGGGTCTTGAGCGTTTTCCAGCAAGCCTCTCCCCTTAATGAAGCTGGTCTGTAAAACTGTTGATTGGCTAATTCTAAGTACTTCCCTGGCTTCAAAGATCCAGAAGGTTGTTAGCTCCGACCCGAGCTATCTGTCTTGGTAAATGGTAGTTTGAACAAACAGCACGTCATTTAGAAAGCGATAAAGAGCGGCAGGCTGGCTCTATGATGCCTCAGTGTTTTATGGGTGTTGGATCACAAGTTTGTTTTAATTCACTGCCTGAGGCACCTTATGTGGATTTAAACAGCCTGTTATTAACAATAATGTAACACCTTTTTTATTCTTTATCTGTTTGATTAGCCAGGTGGCTCATCCTAAATTATTATTGATGCTATATTTATTATATCTTAGAATTTAAAAAATCCAAAAAACAGACGGATTAAGATTTGGGACAATATAAAAATGATGTATGTGTTTCTGTGCAGATGGTCGTGACATCTGATGGTTAATTCCTTTAGTTTGAAGTTCTTAGTCTTCAACAAAAACATTCAACAAAATACATTTGAATCTTATGGGTATTCTTTCATGAACCGAGCATTTCCATGCTATCCAAAGGATCAACTTGATCAATTATGAGCTTTTCCTCTGGCGCCACATGTAGTATAATCAGCTACAGATACTAAGCATTCATGTTTCCACTCATCATAGATGTATATGGAGAGTGTCTTTATGCAGTGGTTATTTGTTTGTGTCCCCCCCTGCAGGTGAATGGTAGGAACCTGCTGTCAGTGGATTACGACCGTTCGCTGCGAACAGAGAAAATATATGATGACCACAGGAAGTTCCTGCTGAAGATCATCTATGACACACAAGGCCATCCCACACTGTGGGTTCCCAGCAGCAAGCTGCTGTCGGTCAACCTCACATACTCCAGGTGAGTGCTTCTATATACCAGTATGTGTTATGTTAGGGTTGTAATTGGAAAGGGTAGGCCAGTGCCATTGGGCTCTAAAGGCAAGTCCAACCATTTCTCAGTTTAAAGGGATAGTCTCAGTATTTCTGCTGTACACACAACTTTTCACATTTCTGCTCAACGAAAAGAGAAAAATAAGAAAATCCTCTTAGATGGAGTAGATTATGTCGGAGCATGTAGGTTAAAGTGGACCTATTATGCTATATTGGAAACATATATTGTAGGGCCATACCTATACAAAACATGTCTGTGAAGTTGTTTTTTTAAATACCAAACAGATCACCCATTGTAGCCATGCCTCATATTGCTCAAACCCCTCTTTTGAAGCCCTGTTAGAGAAACGCAGATTTTGGGTCCTTAGCTTGAAAAAAATAAATAAGAGGAGGCGGAGCTAATGCCTGATCAGAATTCTACCGGAGATAAAGTTAAATTCTGCTGTGATAAAACGCCATCCTGTTTAAACCACGTCAAAGATTATTTCTGAAACAGTATGGAGCTCAAATGCTTTCTCTCTTGCGGGTTTATCACAAGGTGAGTTCCTTTTTGTATTTCCTGCTTTTTAAACTCATGTGCTCTTCAATACAGGTTAGCTCTGAGTGTTAGCGAGGCTTGCTAATGTAAACAAAGACGAGATTACGTCCAAAACACGTCAGGCATTGTTTCTGATAGCAATTTTAAGTGGGTCCGCTGCCGATTTGACGTCAGATCGGCAGCAAATCTGTATCCGCTCGTTGTACCCCTGTTTTTAATAGATTTGGGTACGGAGGAAAAGAGAGAGGGTTTTATTTTCAGACGCTGCGTGAGTTCCCCGACGCACCGGGGACACATATTGATGTATAAAAGACATCACAAAGTGCATTTTGCATGATAGGTCCCCTTTAATATGAAACAAACAAACTAGTTAATGTCTTTCTCAATGGCAGCTGAATCTGGACACTGGTGTTTCTTATGGAATCCAGAACAACACCTCTGCCCTGAACTTCTACTTTCACAAAGCTCTGACGTAGTTTTTGTTGACACTTTCAGAATGGTCCTATTGGACGGTGGTGATTTACTGGAATGCCTTATATTGAAACTGGTTTCTATGTTGTCTACCCTGAGGAGGCAAAGTAACATAGAAACACTATGGTCCAGCTCTTATGTATGGTAAACAGTGAAAATGATGTGATAGCGACACCTCATGTTCACAATATGAACTGCATTTTAATGTAGCTACATAGAGCTCATGGGTCATACTGTATAAACGACAGCCGTTGCATATAGGTTTGAAATCCCCTGTGCAGCTGATCATGATGCATTCAAGAAAAGGTTCTACACACAAAGCTTAAATATATCTCATCCTGTATGGACCAGAGGCCTGTACTATGAAGCCGGATTTTTCGCTTAGCGAGCTAGCTTCAGGGAAAACTCTGGGTTTCCGGTCCTACGACGCTGGTTCACTTCTTAGCGGGCTAGATCTCCATGGTAACTTATGCTGAACGGCTAGCCTGGTCCCGAACAGGTTAGGTTCCAGGATAAGAGATCAACTCAGTGAAAGCACCGCCTGCTGACCAATCAGAGCTCCGTGTGCGGAGTTTAAAGCTATCAAGTCATATTACAGGATAGAGGAAATACAGAAAAACTGCCGTTGCAGGAAAGACGGCCGGCAAAAATCAACTGACTGTGTGAACGTGAAAATGAATAGAATATCCCCTCCCATCTTCAGAGCAATCTGATTATTATAACATTAGCGTTAAGAAAGCTTACTTAAATATCTGCCACAACATAAGTAACCGGATCAAAGTAACATTACGTACAGTCCGCGGCACTGTGAGTGCAGACGTCGATGTGTCCCATTATCATTCATATCATATCACATCATAATGTATCATATATTTCCTTATCTGAGTCAGCTGAGCCGTATCTGGCCGTGCAACACTCACAGTGTCACATACTGTATGCAGAAGTATTATTTTAAGCAACACATTAAGTTGACGAAACACTCGAGTCAAATGTAATTAAAGTCAGATCGTGTCTTGGACGGGGCAGTGATATCATAAACCTGTTAATGTACGCATTCAAACACTTTTTCTTTTACCAGCTGTATTCACCTTGCAGGTGCAGCTATGTGGCTTTGATCCTGGATAAAGTGTTTAAGTCATGGATGTTTAAAGTTTAACGTCTTCATATATGTCTAATATTATAGTTGACTTTTCATTCAGGAAGTATGACGCTGCGCTGTCAGTACGCTTGTCCATGTTTGTGATTGGTCGAATGCTCCAAATACCAGCATAACTGGTAGTTAGGTGCATAGTGCACCTAACTAGATAGGACACGGCTGGCTTGAGTTAACGAGTTGATAACCAGCGTCGTAGGGACAGTTTAGCCAGAGCGCGTTTGTTTTGGATTAGGTAAGCCGGGTAACTCAAACATATCCAGGTTATGTTGAACCGGCTTTGTAGTACAGGCCTCAGATATTAACCTCTGTGTGTGTGTGTGTGTGTGTGTGTGTGTGTGTGTGTGTGTGTGTGTGTGTGTGTGTGTGTGTGTGTGTGTGTGTGGTGTGTGTGTGTGTGTGTGTGTGTGTGTGTGTGTGTGTGTGTGTGTGTGTGTGTGTGTGTGTGTGTGTGGTGTGTGTGTGTGTGTGTGTGTGTGTGTGTGTGTGTGTGTGTGTGTGCAGTACGGGGCAGGTGACTGGCCTCCAGAGGGGTCCCACCACAGAGAAGTGGGAGTATGACAGCCAGGGACGAATCATTTCCCGAGTGTTCGCTGACGGGAAGATTTGGAGCTACACCTACTTGGATAAGGTAAAAGCCATATACACACATGAACACACATAACTGCACTGTAATACAGAAGTATAAGTCACATGCACATACAAATCACTAACTAAAGTACAAACAAGATACAACTCAAATCATTTTGTTCGACAGACTTTTACCCCACTGGATGTGTTCATGTGTTATTGTTGCATCACCATGGTGTGACCATGGTGGAGATCGAGACAAAAAGTATTTTGAGCTACTTTTGAACCCTTGCTGATTCCAACACACATTTCTGTTGCTTATAATGCAGGATTATTAGGGAGAAAATCGGTGCTAATGTACAATCACCTGAATCTAAGAAGCATTTTTCTGAGCTTACAATGAGCCCTTCATATTTGAACATGGAGCAGGTCCTCTTAACAGAGTCATCATGTTTCTACTATAACTCAGAACAGACAAACCAAACTCTGCCTCTACAGAGAGCCTTTCACAGTTTGATGTCACCTAAAGGCCACCATAGTTTCCAATACACACCTAAAGCCCCGACCTGAGTCCTGTTGCTTCTACAGTATGTTATGGTAAGGATGTCCTCTGAGAGAGTAAAACACTTGATTTGAAGTCTTGGTTATTTTTCTTTCACAGTGACAGTTCTAAAAAAATTGCAGGACCCTATTCAATAATAAATCAAACAGGAGCAACTGACAAAGGGAAGAGGACTGAAATAAAGACAAATGAAAAAGAGAGAAGCAGACAGAAATATCTCACAAAACAAGAGACTAGCAGACAAAACACAGGAAGAGGAAACAGATAAAGAAGAGGGATCGTTCCCTCCTGGAGAATAACTGAGCCATATTCTATTACTCCATGTGTCACTCTGAACACTCTCGCCTTCTCTTGTACTTGTTTTTCATTTGCTTCCTTCCTCCATCAGTCACTTTCTTTCCTTGCTGGAAATACTCACTGTAAGTCACTTTGGAGAACAGCGCCAAAAAGCAGAATTCATCATGCACAGCGACCAACATCATAACTGCATCTATATGGAGGCAAACATACTATAATTGATGATGAACACATGAGCACAGTGAGGGGGAACGTATGCTCATGTGTTTCCCCGATACTACTGTAGTAGTGCAGTCACATACTACTGTAGTAGTGCAGTCACATACTACTGTAGTAGTGCAGTCACATACTACTGTAGTAGTGCAGTCACATACTACTGTAGTAGTGCAGTCACATACTACTGTAGTAGTGCAGTCACATACTACTGTAGTAGTGCAGTCACATACTACTGTAGTAGTGCAGTCACATACTACTGTAGTAGTGCAGTCACATACTACTTAATGTCTTTGTTGTCTCAAGAAAGAACGGGTATAACAAACAACAAAATACAGAGGTAAAGACAAACAGTATGTAAGGCCAACTCAACAAGTGTGTCCTCTTTGCTGGGAGTCCCAGCAGCTTCTACTGAAGTCAGTCCCCAACTCCGGGGACTTCCGGCTGGGGACTTCGAGTGGCAGTATACGCCGTGAAGTTGTTTGCGGCCTGCCAGTAAACCCAAAGCAGAAGTAGACGAAGTGACGTCAGCGGCTTCATTTGCGTAATCTTCCCTCAGGGACTTAGACCCCGTTTACACGAGGACGATACGGGTTGTATCCGCATAGTTTCTCTTGCGTATAGCCCTTTCGTTTACACGAGGCCGTAACAAAACGATATAAACGGACCCCGCAAACGATAACGGGTCCCAAGGTGGATAGATCTGCAAACGGAACACTCTGGGGGGTCAAACGGCTCCGTGTGTACGCCTCTATACGATCATTTCCTGATAACGATGAAATAGCCCCGTCTCCCTCTCCCCACGAACTAAGTGCTGGGAACTAAGTGCTGGGAACTAAGTACGGCAAAGTACTTGGTGTGAAAGCAGCTATTGATCATGAAAGTGTTCTCAAAGCTGGTAAAGGTGCAGCTAGTTTGAATGACTTTGTATACTGCAGGGTAGCTTGTGAATTTACTCCAGGTGGAACTAAAGTCTGATTTAACACTTGATCATATTTCACATCATTAATCCACATCTGTGAAGTAACTAAAGGTATTAAATACATGTAGGGGAGTAAAGTACACCATTTACCTCTGAATTGTAGTGGAGTAGAAGTACAAATCTAAATATACTTACAGTAATTACTTTACACCACTGAACCTATGTTTGTACTTATTTATTAAAAAAATGATATCTGTAATTGTATCATAGTAGTATCAACATATCCCTTCTTAGTTATGACAATTATAATTAGAATAAATCATTCAACCTAAACAAAATTAAATATTTATAATGGGATTTATTTATTTTTCATCTAATGTTGTTGGACAGTCAGTCAGATAACTAGAGTAGAAATATAAATATATGTTTTGCATCATCGCTGTGTTGAGTGTAGAGTTGTTTATTTTAATTTTATTTGACTTATTTTACTACTTTCTACCTGTGTCTACGTCATCTGGTAAGACCGATTCATTCATAGAGTACAAACGTAATGAAAGGAGTTTGAAGGAGAAAAGGGAAATATAAGTGAAGAAACAAACAAACTTAGAGACCTCTGTGTGGCGTGTGAGCGCATCGGCCCGACGCACACCAACGGACAGAAAGGAGCAAATTGGAGATTAGATCTGCATCCTTCTCACGCTTCAGAATTATTGTCGACCACTGACAGTGCAGGAGGGTCCTGCTGGGATGGCTTTGCATTTTGTTTCGGACACACTGGAGAAAATTGATGTTACTTAATACTAGAAAAGAGTCCAGTTCTGTTCATCCTGCAGAGAGTTATGCATGCTAAGCCTCAGGCCCCGATGCCAGAGCGGCTCAGAAATCAGCCAAGGGACAAATGAAGGAGCAGGGCAGTGGGTCGTTATAGAAGTCCAGCAAACATTCTGTGTCATGTTGAGTGTGTGCTGCCAAGTCTGCTTGTCATAGGGAATGTTTGCCTTTTTTTTCCCTGAAGGTTGGCTGAAAATGTACAGCCTCTTTTCAAAATCATTTCATAACTGTCCATGCTGTCTTGTGCTGTGCAATAACATCTCCACCTGTGGTCCAGTTCTACAAACTGCACAAACGCACAATCACCCGGACCACACTCTGGCAGACAGAGCAACACATGAATGCTATACAGTTCATAATTATGATTGAATAACATCTATTATCTATTTGCTACCAACTGCAGCATTTCTCAACACTTGTCCCAGTGTTGATGCCCGTGTAACAGCCAGCAGATGGTTCAGTCAGACAAACTCGCCTTAAATAATTCACCTTTTATATAAAAGGTTAATACAAAGGTATTTGGTCCAAAGGCTCTACCAATCGAGAAACAAAGAAACAAACTTCATTTCCAGAGAAGAATGGCGATATTGGGTGATTTTGCAAAAGCCCTTCGTATGATATAAATAATATATATTTATTTTGTAAAGGCCCAGTGCCCAATTATCCCATCAATAGAGTTTTAAAACACTGGGCTGAAGAAACACATACATGAAGATACAATCTGATATTATCCCTGCTGAAAATCACCACTGGCAGAATGAGGGTTGTGGGGGAGCTTTGTCAGTCTTGGCAGGAGTGAGTCAGCTGATTCATTGTGTTTGTGTTTGAATGAGCGGGTGTTGATATGATAAAGCATGAATGAAGTAGTTGATGCCAGCATTTCATCTGTTCTCTGCCCAACCGAAAGTAATGCTTCATTTCAGATTAGCTGAGAGACCCCTGAAGGGTTAAAGGCATCACTAAACAAAAGGGCCAGCCTTAACAAACATTGAAATCTTCTTCTGCAGTGGAAAGCATGAATGAAGGCAGGTACAGGTGTGCTATAGACAGGGTTGGGAGGGTTATTTTAAGTTAATCCGTTACAATAACTAGTAAAAACATTGAATCAGGAACCTAATCTGAGTATCAAAATATCAAAGTAATGTAAGCTGATTACTTTCAGGTACTTTTGGACTACCTCAATATGAATGTGCAATGCAAAGAAAAACAATAAAATAAATAACAATAAGATGTGTTTTACTTAAAGGTGGGGTAGGTAATTCATTTCAGAAACACTTTTTGTTATATTCCATGGAATGCTCTTAACATCCCGATAGCAATTAATACATTAAATGCTTTGACAATAAATACATACAAATATGTCTCTGTGGAAGCCGTGGCGCTGTAAAAAGCACGACCAATCATTCTCAAATAACTGAATGGCCTACCTGCCTGTCTGCCTTCCATCTGTGCACAAACTTATCTCGTGCCCTCATTGGTCATGTGCGCGTTCGTGTGTGTTGGAGGAGGGGCTCTATAAGGAAGTCTGAAGGAAAAGGCAGATTTTTTCGGCTGCATAGTTTCAAATTCTAGCGCACTCGAGCTGGTTTCTCCATTCTTACCTACCCTACCTTTAGGTGTATGTAACAATGTAACCTTGGAAAAGAGCAAACCAAGATATTTCTATATTTCATATAAAAAATGTAGTAAGAGTTTACAAATGCTGTTTAAACTTGAATGTTCACATGATGAAAGCATAATATAAACCAGAAAGAAAATGTATTCAGGACATCCCATAATATATCTATCTTTATTTCTAAATGTATTCTAACACTGTAATCCTGCTGGTAATCTCTATTTTTTGGAATGTAACAGCAATCTGATTACTTGTTTTTTAAATGTAATAGTAATCGAATACAGATACCTTTTGTTGTATCCCGATTAAGTAATATCGTTACATGTAATACTTTACTCCCCAAGCCTGGCTATGGATGGATCTGGATGTTCTAGAACACACACATGCACAGACTCCTCATAAGCCTCAGCTAGCTGCTGTTAACTAGCTGCTAATGTCCCCTCAGAGCTGCAATCAAAACACTACTTGAAATGCAAAGCAGCTGTCTCACTCTCATGCAGGTGAGATTTTGCAAAAGGTCCAGTGGGGCACACAACCCCGGCAGATGGCACAGAAATATCAAGATATTCCTCTAATAGAAGCTGTAAAAAGATGTACTGCCAAATATTGTATTTATGATGTGGACTGGTGTGGACGTCCCAGTGTCTGTGCAGGTGACACCCTTTCAAAACTTTCTGTGGATATGTGTCACAGGTGTAAGTTGTTACATTGTGCTCTTCTCTCTGTGTTGGGCTGCTCTGACGTTGTGTGTGTGTGTCCCCCCCCCCCCCCCCCCTCTCTCTCTCTGACAGTCCATGGTGTTGCTGCTGCACAGCCAGCACCAGTACATCTTTGACTTTGACTCCGGGGACCGTCTGTCCGCGGTCACCATGCCCAGCGTGGCTCGACACACCATGCAGACCCTCCGATCCATAGGGTACTACAGGAACATCTACAACCCCCCAGAGAGCAACGCCTCTGTGACTGTGGACTACTCTGAAGATGGACAGGTGTGTGTAATAAAATCTGCAATATTTTAAAATCATATCATTTTTTGTCTTCATCTTTTATATGTCATTACTTCTGCTGATGGATGGTGGTTATGAGGTTTTTCTGTGATGAGTATTGTCCAACGCTTTCATTTGATCATCAGTGTTATGGAACTCAAACTGAAGTGCTGTTCCCTCTCTCTCCAGCTCCTCCGAATTGCCCATCTAGGCACGGGCCGCCGTATACTGTACAAATATCGCAGACAGGTACGTGCTTTCCGTGCTTTTTCACTTTACTAAAAAATGAAACGTATTTGTATGTTGACCCATGCATAGGTGGAAGAAGTACTCCGATCTTGTACTTATGTAACAGTAGAAGTACCCGAGTTAAACAAATATAATTTAAATAAATAATTCTCAACAACGTAAACAAAAATTATTTATTTTTTGATTATATTTAATTTGTGTTTTTTTTCATCTAATGTTCTTGAACAGGACAGTCCAATACATAGAGAGGAAATGGAAAGCATGATCTATTTTTGCATCATCACTGTGTTTAGTGGGAAAGTGGTGTCAGGGAGAGGCAGGGTGAGGGTGGTGCTGAGGCACTGGGCCTGAGCAGCTGCACAGCTTCAGTACACCACTCAGGTTGAAGTTGATGGCACTCATTGAAGTGAACTGAGAGTGGAGCAGATATCCTCCAATGTCCATTATTGTAAACACATCCTGCTGTGTTTCCTGTGTCATCAGAACAAGCTGGCAGAGATCCTCTATGACTCCACTCGGGTCAGTTTCACGTATGATGAGACGGCTGGTGTTCTTAAGACCGTCAACCTGCAGAGCGAAGGCTTCATCTGCTCCATCAGGTACCGGCAGATCGGCCCTCTGGTCGATCGGCAAATCTTCCGCTTCAGCGAGGACGGCATGGTGAACGCTCGCTTCGACTACACGTACGACAACAGCTTCAGAGTGACCAGCATGCAGGCTGTGATCAACGAGACGCCGCTGCCCATCGACCTGTACCAGTTTGATGATATATCTGGGAAGGTGGAGCAGTTTGGGAAGTTTGGAGTCATCTATTATGATATCAATCAGGTAAGACTGGAGTGCCTGCAATGAATTAAATGTTGTCTATAAATCCTGATAAGGTGGGTCAGTTGTTAAGAGGTGATGCTTTGATGATTCAATAATTGATTAGACATGTGGGATGGACATTGGCGTGCAGGTGAAACTCATCATGTGACTGTTTCAGCTTCCTCTGGTATTGAGAGCAACTCATTGGTGGAGATCATCAGAACATCACATCATTTTTTATATTACACATTTTATGACATAATGATGTATTTGACAGCATTATGTTATGCAAATTACACGTTAAATGCATCCCTCAGGAACAGTGACCAATAATGTATTCATATTGTTTACGATGCAAACAAGATCTGTTAGAGAACTCAATAAATCACAATAAGCACAAGTTAATGTTTGTTTTGGAATGCAAACACTGAACCATGAGAAGAGAACTAGACAGAGAGTAATGTGGACTTTCCTTCAATTAGATACAATCAAATATATTCAGTTGAAATGTTTATTTTATTGCGCCTACTTGTAATTAGGAGCAGGATGTCTCCCAGGTAGTGGAGGTGGTTAGATATCAGATTGACTTTCTATACTTACTACCACAGATAACAAATACCTCTCAAAATACTTCTCCTACTCACTGAGAGTTATCAAATAAATGTTAAATAACCTTTTAATGAAATGACAGGAGTGATTCTGCCTGATGAACAGGCCCTGAGCTTGAATTCAATAAATACATCTGGTTGTCAGAGTCTTCTACAAAGCAGGAGAGGAACATCTCCCTGAACAGAGCTTGTTTGGATGTACATGTCCGTGTCCTGTCTGCTCCGTCAGCTTCCTGTCAGTGTAGGAACTGAACGCTTGTTTTCTGTCTTCCTGCTCCTCAGATCATCTCCACAGCAGTGATGACATACACCAAACACTTCGACCAGCACGGCCGCATCAAGGAGATCCAGTATGAGATCTTCAGGTCTCTGATGTACTGGATCACCATTCAGTACGATAACATGGGCCGAGTCACCAAGCGGGAGATCAAGATTGGACCATTTGCCAACACAACCAAATATGGATACGAGTATGACGTTGATGGACAGCTACAGACGGTCTCCCTCAACGAGAAGATGATGTGGAGGTAGGATCAGACGATTAAACTGAAATAAAAGATATAATTTGAAGATGCCAAATGTTAATAGTATAATTGTCTGACCTTCCAGATATAATTATGACCTGAATGGGAACCTGCATTTGCTGAACCCGGGCAACAGTGGTCGTCTGACCCCGCTACGCTACGACCTGAGGGACAGAATCACCCGTCTGGGAGATATTCAGTACCGGATGGATGAAGACGGCTTCCTGAGGCAGAGAGGAGCTGAGATATTTGAATACAACTCCAAAGGTCAGATTCATTGTTTGGTGGTCCAACATAGCAGTACAAAGGCCCAGTCAAACCAGAACCTGACACAGCCAAGTTCAACCAAAGATAGCTGAGGGGAGGAGAAACAGACAGAAATAAGCAGCCAATGACAGGCTTACCAAAGGCACAGTCTAAAGATGTGTGTCAGACTGCTAGCATGCTGAGTCGGTGGAAAGGCTTGGGAGCTTGGTCGGTAATAAGACCACAATTTCTCACAGTTTATTCAAAAGATGCATCTGTCTTCTCTCAAAACATTCGCTCTCTGTGGAGCAGTTTATTCTCGGATGGATTGTAATACTAGCCTCTATCATTTTGTGCTTTCTAAAGTCTAAAAACTTGACACAAAGTCCCACTTGACTTTACTTGGCATGTGATTTGGTAATTCCAATTAAATTACTACACTTATCTGCATCATTTCTTGTTGAATTCTATCATCAAAGAGCCTTAACCCTAGTTCTTTTGGGGGGGGGGGGTTTATTCAACATTTAAGTCAAATGTAACAATGTATAAATCAAATTAATACTACCAATTGGGGTTTCAGTATTCAATGTATAAATCCTACAGATAGTATGTTTCAACAGAAACATCTAAGCATCTTTTTGTATCATCTGTCATTCAGGGCTCCTAGTTCGTGTGTACAGTAAGGCGGCCAGCTGGACCATCCAGTACCGGTATGATGGTCTTGGTCGGCGAGTGGCGTCCAGAAACAGTCTGGGCCAACACCTTCAGTTCTTCTACGCTGACCTGAACTACCCCACCAGGATCACCCACGTCTACAACCACTCCAGCTCCGAGATCACATCCTTTTACTACGATCTGCAGGTAGCTTCTCAAAAAACATTCGGAAAATGTGGATATGATACGAAACACACTGAGTTTGCACAAATTAGACAAGTATAGTGCATGACATTTTGTGATGTCATGCACTATATAACAACAGTCTAACTTTACTCATTAAGACTAGAGTAATGCACTAATCTCGTAGGTAAATAAATTGAGGATAGTGTAAAAGAGTTGTCTAACAATGAGGAAAGTGTTTGATAAAGCACACAAGAGCATACAATTATAATTTGTTTGCAAAATATTAATAAAAAGTGTATATGTATAATACGTTATGTATTGCTGCACAGGGCCATGTGTTTGCCATGGAGATCAGCAGTGGAGAGGAGTTCTACATTGCCTGTGATAACACTGGGACCCCGCTGGCTGTCTTCAGCAGCAATGGACTATTGCTTAAACAGGTATGTGTGTACCTTTTTTCCTTGCAAATAATTAAATGTCCTGAGCTTACATTGTGTTCAAATTCAATTTTTGCAATGGTTGGTCTCCATATCAGGTGCTGAATGTGTGTTTGTGTGTAGGTGCAGTACACGGCGTATGGGGAGGTGTACTTTGATTCTAACCCAGACTTTGTGCTGGTGATTGGTTTCCACGGAGGTCTGTATGATCCTCTCACGCGGCTGCTGCACTTCGGAGACAGAGACTACGACATCCCTGCTGGAAGGTGCGCACTCACTTCCTCTCCACACATGCACAGTTCTCCTCCAGCAGGATGCTCTGCAGCTTTGTTATCTTCACCTCTGACCAGAGTGTTTTTTCTGAAGGTGGACCACTCCTGACATCAGCACATGGACACGTGTTGGTAAAGACCCCCAGCCCTTCAACCTCTACATGTTCAGAGGCAACAACCCCATCAGCAAGATTCACCAGGTCAAAGAGTATGTCACAGGTAACCAGAAAACATTGATTTTACAGTACAAAAATACCAAAGAGGTAGATAGAACTGTGTTCTATCAGAAGAAGTAGAGCTATCCTGCCCCTTATCAAACCTGCCATTTCTAGGTAAAATCATTGAAAAAGTTGTATTTCAACAGTTGAGTAATTTCTTGCATTTAAATAACTGTTTGGATGTGTTCCAGTCAGGATTTCGTCCAAACCACAGCACTGAGACTGCTCTTGTAAAGGTCTTCAATGACATCCACTTAAACACAGACAGTGGCAGAACTTCAGTGTTAGTATTATTAGATCTCAGTGCTGCGTTTGACACTGTTGACCACAACATATTACTAGACCGACTGGAAAACTGGGTGGGACTTTCGGCAACAGTTCTAAATTGGTTTGAGTCCTACTTAAAGGACAGAAAAAACTTTGTTTCTATAGGTAAATACACATCTGAGTTGACAAATATGACATGTGGGGTTCCTCAAGGCTCCATCTTGGGGCCTCTTCTCTTTAACGTCTACATGCTACCACTGGCTCAGATAATGAAAAACAACAAAACAAGTTACCATAGCTATGCGGATGACAAATTTACGTAACAATTTCACCAGGAGACTATGCTCCAGTTAAAACACTGAGTAAGTGCATTGAACAAATCAATGACTGGATGTGTCAGAACTTTCTCCAATTAAACAAAGACAAAACTGAGGTAATGGTTTTTGGAGCCAAGGCAGAACGTATAAAAGTTAGCGCTGAGCTTCAGTCTGCAATGTTCAAAACAACAGATGAAGCCAGAAATCTAGGTGTAGTCATGGACTCTGACCTGAGTTTCAACAGTCACATTAAAACAGTTACTAAGTCAGCCTACTATCACCTAAAGAACATATCTAGGATTAAAAGACTAATGTCACAGCAGGATTTGGAAAAACGTGTCCATGCTTTTATCTTCAGTAGACTGGACTACTGCAATGGTGTCTTTACAGGTCTCACTAAAAAATCTATTAGAAAGCTGCAGCTGATTCAGAACGCTGCTGCTCGAGTCCTCACTAACACTAAGAAAGTGGATCACATCACTCCTGTTCTGAAATCTTGCCTTGCCTTGCCTTGCCTTGCCTTGCCTTGCCTTGCCTTGCCTTGCCTTGCCTTGCCTTGCCTTGCCTTGCCTTGCCTTGCCTTGCCTTGCCTTGCCTTGCCTTGCCTTGCCTTGCCTTGCCTTGCCTTGCCTTGCCTTGCCTTGCCTTGCCTTGCCTTGCCTTGCCTTGCCTTGCCTTACATTCAAGGTGGCTAGTACTATACTTAACATAATTATATGTAACAACTTAACTAACATATTTGTATTGAGCTAGCTGATTTTAAATCATAAAGAAATCCCAACAATAATCTCGTTTTGCTTGGAGTGGATGTCGTTAGAACACATTTAATAGAACTATATTTGTATGTTGTATTTTATCAGCCTGAAGTGGGGGTTTTATGAATTATTTCAAATCAATTCTATCAAACAGAATAGTGATGCAAACTAATTATTAATCAGGTGTCCCTGTTTCTTTCCACAACAGTTTGGTAGTAATAGGTGAAGATTGGTAGTAGTGCTTTATTTATTCCCTCTAAGAAAGAAAAATGTTCTTAAAGTGAACAGTATGGTGCCAAAAAGGAAAAGTAACCTTACTGTGGAGATCTGAATTGATCAAGTACTTCAGTTGGGTCAGATCTTTTTTGAATTGTATTCATTTGAAGCTGCATAATGACAGATTATAGTAACAAGCTGCAACAACGTGAGGCCACTGAGGATTTTAAAAAAGGAACACCAGTGGTTGGTCAAAATTGCAAGGAGGTATAATAAAAATAATAAGCAGGCATCTTTATTATTATAGTTTGTTTACATGCCTTGTAGTTTTTCTTCTTTGATTGTTCACATCGCTTTCTTCTCTTGTAGATGTCAATATCTGGTTGGTTACGTTTGGATTCCATCTCCACAACGCAATCCCAGGATTCCCCATTCCTAAATTTGACCTGACGCAGCCGTCACTGGAGATGAAGAAGAGCCAGCTGTGGGACGACCTGCCTGTGAGTATGAGTCCTGTGACAGAGAAAGATGGAAGGAGTCTCAGAGGCAACAGTCCCTTCTGTGTGACGAGTGACGGCAGAACATATAAATGAATATTTATATACACATTTTTGGTCAGGATAGGGAGAGACAAAGGAGGCTGAAAAAGAACAGGAAAACACAAACTGACTGACAGCATTATTTAATGAACTCGACTAATTAGTTCAGTGTGGGCCTTTGGGGAAATCAGAAGCTACACATACAGTACACACAGTAGACACTTTACACACTGTGTGTTTGCACGAAAAAAATCCTTTTGAGATCAAACATAGTTCTTTTATCCTCATATATATAGTCTCCCCTTATTTTGTGAGTCTGTTCATTTATCACCTTGTCAACTGGTACTCTACCTATATCTGTCTTATTTCCGTGAGCAAATGCACTAGTCATACAGCAACTGATCACTATCAATAGATTCAGCCAGACATCACATTTTCCCCCCCTGACTCGGGGAGGGAGAACTAAACAGTAATACAAATACTGTATATCACATGATGTAACATACACCTACAGAGAATCGGATTCAAACTCTTAGTTGGCTTTAGTTATATAGCTAGAGAATACACAGCCCCTCGGTTCTCTCCTCAGTGTATCACTGCTCCTGACCGCCCACAGGACATCAATCTGTTATCAGGGCACAAGAAAACCAAATGATATGGACTACTTTAACCAAAATAACGTACGCCTAACACAATATCGTTATGTTATGTATGTAGGCTGCTGATCTTCCCTAAATGAATAACATGAAGACAAGCTGCACATTCAGTCTCAATGCAAGAAAGCTTGCTTTAGAATGTACTTGGTAAAAAGTAAATGGACTGCATTTGTGTAATGCTTTTCCAGTCTTTATGGCCAGTCAAAGTCAGCAGTTACCCAGCACCTGCTCAGGGAGGCTAACCCCACACACACTCACACACCGTTGGCCATGCCATTTGGAGCAACTTGGGATTAAGTGTCTTGCCCAAGGAGATATCGACATGTTGACTGCAGAGGCTGGGATCGAACCCCCAACCTTGTCCATGATGTCGTAAATAGCAAGCAGTAAATAAAGTATGAAGAATATCTCTTTGTCTCGTCTGCAGTCCATCTCGGGGGTCCAGCAGGAGGTGACCCGTCAGTCTCAGGCCTTCCTGTCCTTTGAGCGGATGCCAGAAATCCAGCTGAGTCGGCGGCACTCAGACCACACCAAACCCTGGCTGTGGTTCGCCACCGTCAGGTCTCTGATCGGCAGGGGAGTGATGCTCGCTGTGATCCAAGGCCGCGTGGTGACCAACGCCCTCAACATTGCCAATGAGGACTGCATCAAGGTGGCTGCAGTCTTAAACAACGCCTTCTACCTTGAAGACCTGCACTACACCGTAGAGGGCCGGGACACACACTACTTCATCAAGACCAGCCTGCCGGAGAACGACCTCAGCGCGCTGCGGCTCACCTCAGGCAGGAAGTCGCTGGAGAACGGTGTGAATGTCACGGTGTCGCAGTCCACCACGGTGATGAATGGGAGGACGCGGCGCTTTGCTGATGTGGAGCTGCAGTACGGCTCTCTGGCGCTCCACGTGCGCTACGGCACCACGCTGGACGAGGAGAAGGCTCGGATCCTGGAGCAGGCCCGGCAGAGGGCGCTGTCGAGCGCCTGGGCCCGCGAGCAGCAGCGGGTCAGAGACGGAGAGGAGGGGGTCCGGCTGTGGACGGAGGGAGAGAAACGGCAGCTGCTGAGCAGCGGGAAGGTTTTAGGGTTCGACGGATACTACGTGTTGTCCATAGAGCAGTACCCTGAGCTAGCTGACAGTGCTAACAACATGCAGTTCCTACGGCAGAGTGAGATAGGGAGGAGGTAACACGGCTCACAACGTCTCATTTCTACCCCACTATGACTGTCAGACTAACAAAAAGTGAAAAGAAAGGATTTATAGTGAAGATCATTATGGAACATAATGAAACTACAGATGTGATGGTTTAAAACTGTCGTCATGAGGCTGCAGGAAGGTTCAGTCTTTTGCCTTTTCTCTCTTTCTTTTTCTTTCTAAATGTTCTTTCTTTCTATCTGTCGCCCTGTTGTCTGCCTTTAAACAGCCTGCACGCATGCCCCTCCCCCTCTCTCTGGTAGGCGGGACTAACCTGATTCATAAAATCGTGTGCGTCTAGCTGTGAACCTGTGGGATGTAGAGACTTGTTTAATTAGCCAGCGGAGCATTTCCACAGCCGTCACAGCTAGGTGAGCTCTAAGCATTTAGACAGTTGTAACTGTCAGCAGTCCTCAGAACAATGTGCTCGCTCACAGATGTTGCAGGCTTCTCATCTGTGAGCCGTCTCTGGGTTAATGGCCTCTGTGAGCCGTGTCTACAGGATCTCTTGTTCCATGGCTGAAGGAACTGGAACTGCTGTTGAACTGATGTGGACTCTCTAAGACAGACAGGCACAAAAAAAAGACGACAATTTGTACGAAGGAGAAAAAAAAGACTTGTTTTCTGTTTGGATTTTTGTTTTGTTTTTATATATTAACTTGCATTTGCTTCAGACAAAAAGGGGATTCAAAAATGAACAAAAAATGTTTACATACTATTACCTATACCACTATTACTACTCTTATTACACCACCATCACCGCCACCACTGGAATGGACCATGATCTGAACTGAACAAAACTTTTAAGTTGTGTTTTTGTTTCCTCCTTATCTATTATCTGTTGGTCCGTTTGAACCACTCCTTCTCATCCCCTGTCCTCTTACAAAGTCTATAAGAATGTACAGTTTCAGACTACAATCAGCAGCGGTCTATGAGGAAACAGGGCCAGCTCGGCTGTTTCTGATTGGTTGTGGACCCTCAGTCGGGGGTCCTTCACTTCTGCAGAATGGGACTCAGCCTCATAATGCATCGACCTTGTGCTTTTATCGGTCAAAGGTAGTAGTAATGCTTGCAATAGAAACATGTTGTCATGGCTTTGGGGGAGGGTTGCTGTGGGTAGGAACTAAGTGTTGCTTCTCTCCTCGTTTTTGCTGGTTTCTCCTTAAAGGGACAGTGCATTGCCATCAGTGACTTTAATGAGTAACAGTGATAGATCAAAAATCGATGTGGATGTTTTCTCATTGATTGTGGGTCTCTCTACTCTTATCTGGAGTTTTCTTTGTGTGTATGTGTGTTTACCAGGTTGGGACGGCATCTTTAATCATTTTAAAGGAAAGAACAGGAACTTCACACAGCGTTAACATCATATGCCACCAATCTTTTTTCAAAGACAAGTTGACAATGTTTTTTATTTTGAAGCTTGAGAAATTCCACTTATCCGTGCATCAATATTAGTCTCAGAGAAAGTAATTTATGTACAGTGTTTCTACGGTAAAGAATAAAATTCCTTGAAACTACAATATGTTTTTTAATGCGTTCTCTTTCCATTCACTTATCATTTTAAAGGTTCCATGCCGCTGTGTGCTATAGTAATATATACTTTACAGTTATGAAAACACCAATGCAATTCCTTATTTTCATAAAGTCTTGTAACACTTGTCATGAGCACTGCTGTGTATCATCGTGTGAATTGAGTTCATCTCACTGGAGAAATTGTTAACGTTTTTTTTGTACATGTTTGATGTTTACACGGGGTCAGCAGGCCCACCAAAGAGATGCTTCCACTCAGGACTACTCTCCCCCACCAGGTGAAGTACGTAAAAAACATATTCATGGATCAGAACTATTTTAATTTCTCCTAAAACATGAATCATCACAGCCCTAAAATATATTTTGTTACCCTTCAGATGGGGCTCGACCTCAGGTTGGACACCACTGACCTGAACTTCCTAACTGTGTTGTGTAAAGTCAACAGTGTTAGTAATCTACAATGTTATAATAAGTGAAATATTAGTGCTTAATATTTTAACATTTGATATGTTAGGTACACTCTTGTTATCACCTGTGCATTCAAGATGTTGAATTCTGACTTTTATTTTTATATTTCTACCAAGTGCTATTGGTGTTTTTATTCTAGTGAAGATCTGAATACTTAGCATTCCCACTATATGTTATTCTACGGACAAAATTATTATTATTCCGCCGGAATTTTGCACCTCTTCTCCTCCTGCATTCAACATCGCAGAAACTCCGTTCAAACATCAAAACGTTCAGCTCGGTCGGGAATCGATGGCTATCATTTGGATTATTCATAACTTTCATAATTCCAGAGATACATCCCATAATTCATCACATTTTTAACCATTGAAGTCAATGGAGAAAATCTTCAGACTTGAACAATCTTCATGCGACTTCAACTGCTAACTGTTCATTCATACTTTCACTCAGAAACCTCATTCCAACTTTAAAATGTTACACATCTTTCTGATATTATTCGTGTAACACAACTTTTAAATCTGATTCTTACTTTTAGAGATATTAAACATTGTTCAGATCTTGGCAAAGAGGCTTTCTTCAGATTTTAACATTAACTAGAGTGCGTGATGTCACAGCTAGAGGGTAGAAAATCTTGAAATTTGCCTTCATATTTTTTTAAACTGCCATAATTCCCAAACCCTACATTCCTGAGACATAATTTTTCATGACAAACGTAGGAAAACATCTCGTAGCTTGAAAAATGACAAATAATTAAGCAAAAATAATTAAACAAAATGCCTCTTGAGGGCATGAAGTGACAAAAACGTTCAACATGTCTCCATTAAAACCCATTGTAATTTCAGGCTGATATTTCCTCACAGCAGCAGCCGCACACCTTTAGTTAAACTGCCAAAAAGGCCACATTATTAACCCGAAAGTACACAAAAATTACACTTCAGATACTCAACTTTCTTGACATGCTTCACGTTTTGAAATTTCACAGATATCTGTTATCGTTCTTCCACAAAACGTTCACATGTAAGAGGTTTATCTCTCATTCAGAACAATGCAAACCTTTGATCTCTACAGAGCACGTTAGCTCAACTATAAACACCTGTGTAATGGAACACGATGATGTCATCACTCCAACTGACAGCAGTCAGTTCTAACTGTTCATTTCATACTCACACACTCTCTCACAAACACACAGACACACACTCTCTCTCTCACACACAGTCTCTCTCTCTCTCTCTCTCTCTCTCTCTCTCTCTCTCTCTCTCTCTCCTCTCTCTCTCACACAACTCATCATCTCTCTATCTGCTCTCATCTCTTCTCTCTCTCTCTCTCACACACAGCCACTCTCTCTCGTCTCACAGTCTCCTCTCTCGCTACTCTCTCTCTCTCACACACACACTCTCTCTCTCTCTCTCACACCGCAGGCCTCTCGCGCTCTCACACAAAACAGACCGAAGCGAGGCTCTCGCTCCCTACCCCAGGGAAAGCGTCTCTCGCTCTCAGGGCGATGCTATCTCTCGCTCGATCAGAGGATCTCTCCTCTCTCTCTCTCTCTCTCTCTCTCTCTCTCTCTCATCTCTCTCTCTCTCTCTCTCTCTCTCTCTCTCGTCTCCTTCTCTCTCTCTCTCTCTATCTATCACACACAACTCTCTCTCTCCTCTCTCCTCTCTCAACACACAATTGTTTCCCAAACAGACCTAAACTTCACAGGTTTAGGTAATAACGATGCAGCCCATTCAATGCATCTAAGCGTATTATGGAGGTGTTCATCAAATGCCGTTGCCATGGCGACAGACCACTCGCCATGAAACACGATGTCGCTGTAAGTCCAATGGACACGGTCCAATCGTCCCCCAATCTTCGCTTGTATATCACCGGTCCAGCCCTCAACAGCTCTACGTCAATTATGGGGTTTCTTTAAATGTCGTTGCCATGGCAACACAATGCTCGCCATGAAACACGGTTTTCTCATAACTTCAGTGAAAATGTTCCAAACGGCCCAAAACTTCACAGGTTTGGTAACGATGCAGCCATCAACGCATCTAAGCGTATTATGGGGTGTCATCAAATGTCGTTGCCATGGCGACAGATCATTCACCATCAAGTTAGTTCAAAAGTTTGCAGTTTAAATATTCTGCTGCTTTTCCAAGCCTTTTTACTTTCTTTTCTTCACTCATCACACATTCAAGCCCCCAGTGTTCATGTATCATTTCAATCTAAATTCTTCACTTTCTTCTTACACATTACATTTCAGCATAAAGCATTTCCACTAGCAATTTCTTCAGGAATTGCATTCTCTAGTTCTTACTCTATGACCCACATGTCAATTGGCTTATTTTCAGGCTTTCTCCTTTGAAACCTGAGTCCTATTGTGAAATGAATACTCACACTTTGAAAAGTTCCAAGAGGGAGACATTGCTCATTTAGTCGTTTTTAGATTCTTGTTCTTCCTCTTTCATCTCAATCAGCTGACTGAGAGAGTTCCCCTCATTCACTCTTAAATAATATACTAACATATATTAGTAAATCATCTTTCAAAACATAAAACCAAAAGGGATGTGCAAATAGTTTATAAAAAATGTTCTTAATACATTTGTTGTATGGGAAATAATACTCGAGGGCCCAACACATTTCTGCTCATGAACAGTCACACTTAATTGTATAAACTCACTCTTCCCCTGATCCAAATGTCTTTGGACTGTGGGGGCTGGATCCACCAAAGGACAAAGACACACAAGCCAAAACTGTGGAGTCAAAAAGTGTGATTGACTCTCTTTATAAGGCAATTAGATTAGACAATACTCACACCATCGTGATGCATCAATTTCAAGTCAATATTAAATGTAGTCCCTGACTTGAACTGAATTCCTTTATTGTCATTGTACAGGTACAACAACATTTAAAAAGCTATCCTATCAGTGCATATCTATATATGCAATAACAAGCAAACATTTTTTTAATAATATATATATATATATATATATATATATATATATGTATCTATACACTTGAAAAATGTAAATACGTACAAACAAACACACGATAAATGAATGCAGTTAAAATCACAGTGCTTGAAAACAGACAGGTATTGAAATGTGCATGTCAGAGTTGATCACTTCGTAAATAATTAAATAAATAAATGCAGGAATAAATATGTGATGATGAAAATGTGCAGGGCAGTTGCAATGTGTCTGTAGAGCTAGTTTAGATTAAGTTCTCTTATGCTCTCGGGTAAAAACTGTTCTTGTGGCTGAACAGTTTTTACCCGAGAGCAAGAGACTTGTGATGATGCTATAAAAGCACATTGGGCTCCTGATGACAGGATGACATAAAAGCTCACATGTATGAGTGAAGACTTCTGATAGAGCGGTGCAGTGAGGACCTATTTTCCGAGGCCAACCCTGGACCTCTCCCTGGTTCCCTCCGCGAAATGGGATGTTTCAGTTTTTTTGATTATTGCAGTGAATAAGATCTGTGGCAGATCTGTGGCAAACATGCATTTAACATACTTACACGTATTGTTCCACATAGTAACACCACTTTTATAAAAGTGAAAGCGTAAAAAAGCAATCTCCAGAAGTAAAAAGCTAACGTTAAGCTACAAAGGAACCACATCACGGACACGTCACGGCAACAGCGCTAAGCGAAAGACGGCTACGTGTTGACCTTTAGTCGTCTCATTCAGACACTTGTTAGCGAGGTATTTTAATGGTGTAGAACAAAATGCTAAAACCTCAGAATTTTGTGCTAACTACAGACCTGCAGGCATCTTACTAAAAACACGATGAAAAAACAATGACTTTGAGAGGGGAGAGCCCAGAAGAGGTCAAATGCGAACTCATTTGCGGGTTTAAGACTCATTCCTGCACCACTCAGATCAGCTGATCATCGACTGATTCTTCCAGGGATATCCAGCAGCCAGCAGATAACCATCAGTGTGTCTGTGGTTATATTTCAGGCACAGAGGAGACTGCTGCTCTTAAGCCACAGTCCTCTTCATTTGCATTTGAAATGTTTCTGACTGAACTTTTATAATATCTGGAGGCAGAAGTCATTTAAGAAGTTGAGCTCTCATGCAGCACAAATGGCGAGGAGACTTTTCAACTCTGCTCTTTCTTTTCTTTTGTCTTTTAAAACTCTGCTCTCTGGTGTCTGCTGGAACTTTTTTACAGCACTTTTTCAGGATGAGAGAGCAGTGCAGAGCTGTCTCTCTCCCAGCAGTGGCCTGGTCTCAGCTCCATCACACTGACTGCTCATTTAGGTTGTGTCAACAAGGATTTGCTTCTATTCAGGCTCTGACTCACATTGGATCAGTAATGCAGAACTCTGCTCCCTCCATCCCTCTCCTTCATGGTTTCTTAGATTGCATTGAGTTCAGCAGTAGCCTGGGGGTAGAGCGGGGGGCTGGTAAAAGGAAGGTTACTGGTATAAGCCCCCGAATCAGTACAACTCAAATACATGTATCTTCCCAATATATCAAGGAAACTGGTAATATTAACCATACAACAGAATGCCAAAACAAACAACC